GAAAAAGTGTGATATTACTGAAGGCAAGAGTACGGACGAATTGCCAGTACCTCCTGGTCGACTCCTGGGTGACAAAGAACTAGACCGCATTATTTCTAGAATCCAGCCGCAAGGGGACAGGATGAACATGGGCGATGGGGAAAACGATGGGATGAAGGGAGAGGAGGCATTCGGACGAGGAAAGCGTGCAAGAGAAGCGAAGACGTACAAGGACGTGATGACAGACAAGGAGTTTGATGAGTTATGCTGTCAGGAGGAGTCATCGCTTCCGGCATTTAAGCGGAGAAAGATAGGAAGGGGAGCTGCAGCGAAAGGGGTTGTAGAAAATGCTGCGCAGGAGGGAGGAGGAGGGGTGGACGAGGAGGAAGAGGAAGATGACGATGATGAGGACGAGGAGGACTATGAGGAGGAAGAGGATGACGGAGAAGATGATGAAGAGGAAGAGGGAAGACGGAGGCACACGGAAGATAGGCATCGAAATGGCAGCGAGAAGAAACAGGACTGCAGGCGAAGCGATGCAGGTAGAGAGGAGCGGAAGAGAGCTGGCTGTGTAAAGGACACGGAAGACCAGGATGTTGTGGGTAACGCTTGCATGGAACAAGATGATGAACTCAGCGCCGATGTCTGTGGTGGCGCTGGAAGCACTGCAGGAAGTGCTGATAATACATCAAAACGCAGCCTGGGGAAGGCGGTAGACGAGGTGGCCAAGCCACCTCGTAAGAGGAGGAAGGACGACCCGGTGTATTCTGGGAAAGGATTCAGGGAGGCCATGATGATGTCACTCAAGGATGTGGGCTCTCTGAAGGCTGGAAATGTGAACGTTGTGGACACGACTGGAACAATGGCCGCAGCTCTCTCAGGTGCTCCTGCAGGCCCAGAGCAGAAGAAGGAAAGTGGAAATCAGGTTTTGGTTATGATAAAGAGAGGGAGAGGAAGGCCAAGGAAGGACCAAAAGCCGTCGTCATCATCAAGTGTTATCATCCTGAGCCCCGAGCAAGCCGAGAAGACGCGAATTGGATGTTCATCAGCCAGAAGGGCCAAAACTGCCCGGGCGCAGGGGGATAATCCAGCACCTGTGCGGAAGCGTAGGCTGAAGAAGGCTGCCGCTGCCATTGCAGGTGAAGCGTCAGCGCCTGACAAGCCTGCTCAGGGTGCAGCAGCTTCATCAGTTCAACCAATTGTTCTGGAAGAAGAAGAAGGTGCCATAGCTGGTGGTGGAGGTGGAACTTGCACGGGGGTCCAAACGAGTGCTGCTGGCGATGTCTGCACCGGGAATGTTGCTAGTGCCTCTGTTGAGGCTGCCCCAGGGTCTGCAACTGGGGCTGGTGCCACTACGGAGGCTGGCACGGAGGCTCGCCCGAACGTACCTAGCAGTGCTTCTGGTGCTGTAGCTGCAGGGTCTGCAACATGTGCCAGTGCCACTACCAAGGCCGGCACCGTGCCTGACCCGAACGTATCAAGGAGCACTGCTGGTTCTGCACCTGGCAGCAGTGCCGCTGGCCAAACAGCTGGCAATGGCCCTGTTTCCGGTGCTGGCACTTGTGCGGGTATGGTTGGCAACTTGGGTGCTGCCACTGCAGCCGGTAGGGCTGCGGTTAGCACGAGGGATGCAAATGGCATGGCCTCTGGCACTTCCGGTGGCAGTGGTCCTGGCAATGTGTCTGGTCCTGGTGCTGCGGTTATCGCTGCCATTGGTGGCACTGGTCTGGAGACATCTGCTGTCACTGGCAAAGTGGTGGGTGTGAGTACTGGTGCTTTGGCCAGCTCCAGGACTGGTGCCGTTTCTGCCTCAAGTGTTCCATCTATGGCTTCCACTAGTATCGGCGTGGTGGCGAGCACTTCTAGTCCTGGTGCTGTGGCTGGTGGCAACATCACGGCTGGGACTGGTGCTGTTGTCCTGCCTGGCACCAGCTGTGCGACCATGGCTGGCAGCGGGTTGGGCACCATTGCTGGCCCCACTGCCAGTAGTTCAGCTCCGCTGGCGAGCGCAGGTCCTGCAAATGTTGCTCTTTCCACTGTCGCTTGCACTGTTACTTATTCAGCAGGCACTGGCGCGAGCACCATGGCTGGGGCAGTAGCTGTTCCCGCCGCTGAAACTGTGGCTGCTGGTGGATGCACACCTGCGAATGGGACTAAAACTGGGGCTGGCATTCTGGGCCCCACTGGTCATGGTGGTGGGAATGGCGATGCGCTTGTTGGCAGTGCAGGTGGTGCCACTGCTGTGGTTGCGGGAGGATGTGCGAGTGGGAAGAGTGTCGCAGGATGTGGAACAGGAGCCCAAAGCAGCGACCCGGATTATGATCTGAAGCTATTGAAGGATCAGCAGAACCTTGATGCCCTCAGGACTGCTGTTCTTGAGCAGAAGGTGCACGAAATGTGGGAGGGGGGGGGTATGTTGACGGCCACGGCAAATATTGGGTCTTTTCCCTCCAATATACCTGTTCAGAGCTCAAAGGATGGAAAGAACACCAGTCGTGCAGTCGGTGTGAAACAGTCGTCAGCGACCGGCTCAACTGCAAAGTCACCAAAAGATAACAGCGCAAAGGTGAAGGGGTCGAAAGAAGTTACACTGCATGTGCCGTCACCGTCACCAGCCACGGGGGCAACAAAGAGTGTCCCAGTCAGTGCAGGTGGTGCCAATGGGGGGAAAATAGCACCCAATGGTGCAGATGGGCGCAGAGTTGGACCAGAGGGGAGCCCCGCTGGGACACCCATAACCCGCTCTGCTGCTAACAAGGTGGAAACAGGTGCACCTTCTGGAGGGGCCTCTGTGGTTGGTAGCCCAGCTTGGGCAGTCAAAATCTTGGCAGAGACGATCGAAGATGCAATGGGTGTTGCCTCGTCAGCATCCAGATCTTCTTCCATGGGTCACTTTTTGACAGCTGGTGCGGTAGCAGCCTCAGCATCAGTACCTTCTCTGGCAGGTGCTCTGACAGCAAGGGCAGGCGGATCTGTCACGACTGCCACACATGCCATGGCTGGCACCCCTCTATCCAGTAGCGGGGCTCATGTGTCCGGCCTGCCATCTGTTGCAGTGTCTAGCATGCCAGTTTCAAGTGTCAGTCCTGCAGGAGCTTTTGTTATGCCAGGAGCCGCCGCTCAAAGTCCAAATACTACAGCAGCAACAGCAGTAGCTGGTCAGAGTCAAAATACGCCAGCATCGACAGGAGGCCCGGGTTCTGCAACTGGCCAGGCCCCGAGGAGGAGAGGAGGAGGCCGTGGCACGGGTAGGGGGAAAACAGGAGAGCCAGCTGCTCCAAGAGGGAGAAAGAGGGGGCGTGAGGAGGCGATTGAGGTAGCAACGCCCGATACTAACAATCCTGGATCGGAACCATCACAGCAAGTGACAAACACGGAAGCAACCGCAAAGAAGCAGCGTCGGAGAAGAGCTGCTCCGGCTGACGGTAGTCAACCACCAGCAGGAAGTTCTCCCGCGGGCACGGGCACGGGCAGGGGCAGTGGAGGAGGCAGGGGTTCTGGCCGCGGGAGAAGGGGAAGGGGTGGTGGGCCTGCTGCCGGAGCTCTGCCCGACAATGCCACCCCCCCTCAATTGGGAGCACCAAATCCAAGCACAGTCCCAAGTTCTCATATTCAAGCACAGCCTCAAGCCATTGGTCCGGTGGGGACCACCGCCACCCAAGTTCAAGTTGCCATCCCTGCTATGCCACCAAGTTGCCCAACTGGGATTGTTTCCAGTGCTCCTGAAAGAACCATGAATCTTGGTTTATCAAACAAACCAGGTAGCCAGAGTCCCGACCTGGCCACACTTCACGGAGGAGGGAGTACTTTCGCGAACACTTCTGGCAATGACAATAAGAAAGGAGGCTCTCTGCAAGCGCCAGGTCCCGCAAATGTTACGACCGCAAAAACTGAACAAACAGAGGCATCAAGTAAACAGCAAGGCGGTGAGGGTTCGGGAGGCGCGAGCGACAACAATGTTGTAGATGGAAATAAGCAAGGGACGCTGAAGGAAGAGAGAAGCAAAGACGAGGCGGGCAAGGCGGCTGCCATCGCCAGGGKTTGCGATGGCGTGAATGGAGACACATCAGCAAGGAGTATGGAGGCGCTGAGTAGGGATCATGCTCCCGAAGTGGGTGGTTTTGAGCTGGCAATGGCTTCCGGAGTTGTGTCAGGAGAGAGAAGCACTGCAATTCCATGTCCAGCCGATCCGCCCCAAGCTTCGTCTTCTGGTGCAAAAGAGAAGGCAACAGGGGAAGGAAAGGATTCCGCCGGAGTGCGGGGAAGCATTTGCACAGCGCACAAGGGTACAGGAGGAGGTGCAAGCGTATCGGCCCATTCAGACATGGTTGAGAAGAGCTGTTCCCTTCCTGCTGGTACTTGTGGTCCTGACAATGTTAGTGCCACAAAAACTGAACAAACGGAGGCATCGAGTAAACAGCAAGGCGGTGAGGGTTCAGGAGGCGCGAGCGACACCAATGCTGTAGATGGAACTAAGCAAGGGACGCTGAAGGAAGAGAGAGGCAAAGACAAGGCGCACGAGGTGGTTTCCATCACCAGGGTTTGTGATGGTGTTAATGGAGATGCATCGGCAAGGAGTACGGAGCTGCTGGGTAGGGATCATGCTCCAAAAGTGGGTGGTTCTCAGGCGCCAATGGTTTCAGGAACTGTGTCTGGAGAGAGAAGCACTACGATGCCATGTCCAGCGGATCCGCCTCAAGATTCTTCTGATGCAAAAGAGAAGGCAACAAATGAAGGGAAGGATTCTGCAGGGGTGCAGGGTAACATTTGCTCAGCAGACGAGGGCGCAGGGGGAGGTGCAAGTGTATCGGGAGCTTTAAACATGATTGAGAAGAGCAGTTCCGTTCGCGCAGGTACTTCTGCAGGCACTGCGAGTGTCTTGAGTCACGGAAATGAGGCAAGTTGCGTGGACCGCCAAGTGGGCTGCCATTCCAAGAGGCAAGTTGCGTGGACTGTTTTGGCACCTTCTCTGCCAGCTGCCATTCCAGGTGGGTCTGGCAGTGTGGTGGGTGCAACTCCAAGCCCACAGGCGTTGGTGGAGAACTCCACGGCCCCAGGGGTTGGGAACCGGGATCAAGGCACGGCAGCGACGGGTCTGTCGACTCGGACGAATGTGAAGGTGGCAAAGCCGCCTGCATTGCAGGTGAGGCCTAAACCTCCGTCTTCTGGCAACAAGACCGAACGCACCTCATCAGCTACAACAGCTCCTTCTGCCCCCCCCCCGTCAGAACCAGCGTTGCAGATCTCTTCAGATGTGTCTAAAGGGCATGTCGTGATCGCACTAGGCAATCAGATTTCCCCCATCAATATGTCTCCTCCTCCTCCTCCTCAGAGACCGATAGCACCAAGAGCTTCGCCAAGGACGCGCGCACAACAGACAGATAAGAAGCCTAATCCGACGCCAGCGCCCGCTCGCAGAGGTTCTCAAGCCAGGGCAAAACGCCCCTTGGATTCACAGTCAGGGTCTCAGGCTTCATCCCCACCGTCTCGGCAGCAGCAAACACCTCAAAAGGATGTCAAACGGCCATGCCTAGCGCAGACTGGACAAGACATGCTGCCTCCACCACCACAGGCTCCGCAGGCAACCCAGGTCCCGACAACGGAGGACCGAAAGGGGTCTCATCCCGATCCCCCCTCTAGTGTCAATCAGCTGGCAACAGAACAGCTCCAGGGAGAAGCAGTACAGCCGCAGCAGGTTCAGAAACAGCAACCCAAAGCGAACAGCATTCTCGGCCATCAGCAGCAATCAGAAGCGCACAAGCAGTCGGAAGTTGAGCAGCAGCAGCAATCTCAGCTCCCCGCTGTGAAGGACCAACCGCCAGCACAGAAGCCCACTGCAAAGCAAGAACAGTCAGCGCAGAAGTCCACTGCAAAGCAAGAACAGTCCACACCTCCCAAGCAGTCACCGCAGCTTCAGGCACAGGGGATGCCAGCAAAGCCCCAGCAGCAGCCACAGCCTCCGTTGTCATCACAGAAGGCTCAGCTGCCGTTAGCTGAAGAAAAATGCGCGTCACAATGTCAGTCTCCAAGGAAGGCACAGCCGCATCAGCAGCCAGCAACAAAGGTGCAAGGCCAGCCATCATCTGCGCAAACCTCGCAGCAGACATCGTCCCAGCAATCCTCACAGCAAACGTCGCAGAAGCAGCAGGTGCAACCTTCGCCTCAGCAGCAGCGAACGCAGCAATCGGCACAGAAGCCACAGTCGCAGCCGACACAGCAAAAGGCCCAGACCCAGCAGCAGGGACAGCAGTCATCACAGAAGCCGCAGGGGCAGGCACCATCGCAGAAGCAGCAGGCCCAAACATCGTTGTTACAAAAACAGCAGCAGCAGCCTTTACAAAAACTGCAGGCTCAGCAGCCACCACAGAAGGTGCCAGGGTCGCAGCAGCCATCGCAGAAGACACAAGGACAACAATTGTCGCAGGGGCAGCAGCAGCAGCAGCAGCAGTCACATAGAACGCAGGCAAACCAAGCTCAGGGCCTTCAGTCACCCCCTAAGTCACAACCCGGGTCATCCCAGCCAGCACCACAGAAACAGCAGCAGCCATCAGGAAGGGCACAGACCTCACGAGTGCCTCAGCAGCAGCAATCACCATCCCGAGCCCGGCAAAAACAGCAAGCACAAGTATTGTCCCCTAAGAAACAGCAAGCACAGCAGTCATCGGCTGGAAAACCTGAGGCCGAGCAGAATTCTGTACAGAAACAGTTGCAACCGCAGGAGGCGCTCAAGTCGCCAGACAAGAAGGGCTCCACAACTGCAGACGCATCACCGTTGTGTAAACAGCAGCAGTCTCGCCTGGCGGCTTCGCAGAGGCAAGCAAGCCCAAAAGAGCCGAAGCTGCCGAAGCAGCAGCAGGCCGCTAGGAAGCAGCAGCAAAGTCAAGCGCCTCGCGCAAAACCGCAGCAGCGCCAGCAGCAGCGGGCTTCCGGGAACCAGCAATCGCCTGACCCTCGCACGGAAATCCGGCACGACGAGCAGCAGAAGCAGCAGCAGGTTGCTGAAAACCTGCAGTCACCTGGTGATGGGCAGCCAAGGGATCAAATGCAGCAGCAGCCTGTGCCTAACAACCCACTGGCAGGAGGATTGCAAGGAAAGCAACTGCAGCCGCGGTCAGGAGCTTGCACCTTGCTGGCATCGGGTTCTCCGACAGATGCAAAGGCTGACCAAGCAAAAGAGGAGGAAGCGAAGGAAGCACGAGGTGGAGAGGTCAAATCGGCGGAACAGCCCGTCGAAGAGGGTCCTGGGGAAAGCGATGTGGCACAGCAGGGACTCTTGCAGCAAATGACGTCGTCGGCGCCTGAACGCGCTCATGTTTCTGAGAAGGAATCGCAGTCGCAAACAACGCTGGTGCGGCAGCCGATGCAACTGTCGAACTCTGCAGAGGAATCGAGGATCAGCTCTCGACAGGAGGAGTCTCAAGAGCAAGCATTGCAAATGGAACCGGAGAAGACGAACGGCCAGGATCTGGTGCAGGTCGGGGAAGGAGGGAAGGAAGCAGAGAAGACGAAAGGCCAGGATCTAGTCCTGTCTCAGCAGATCCAGAAAGCCATGGACGTTGGAAAGGAACGAGAGCAACTGCGACAGGAGCAGCAGGAGTTGGAAGAAGGGAGTGCAGCTTTTGCAGGTGTTGACCCTGCAAGAGAGTCGACTCCTAATGGCGATGTGCCGCCGTCGGGGCAGAAAGTGTCCACCGCAGCAGTGATTGATTCAGCTACAGGCGCAGAAAGTATCAGACCAGCAAGCAAAGACAATTGTAAGGGATCCCTACCGGCCCCAGCTCCGCTCGATGAAAGTGCAGCAGCCAAAGGAGGCGGCACAGGACACGAAGGGCCCTCCACAGATGCCGCAGGCAGAGAGGACACGTCAAAGACGCCATCTGCGAGCGCACGTCCTGACTCTGCCGGATGAAAGGACGCTACCATCCCATGATTTAGTTATGAGGGTGCAGGTCAGATAAGGTCATATTATGTACATGCAGAGAAGCAGGAATCTGGCCCAAATCCTGACCAGCTTCATGGCTGTAGCGAAGAATGGGGGCTGTCAACAGCAGTAGGTGGTGTGGGTATGATGGGTTGAAGGAGGGTGCATATGGGAGAGGCAGGAAAGGCAAGCACAGGCACACAGGTGAACAAGGAGCTAAAGGCAGGGAGGGGAAAGCAAGGGGGGGAGGAGGGGAGAGGAGCAGCAGGGTAATTTAGGAGGAGGAGGAGGTGAGAAAGGAGAGTGGCGTGCCATCTCGTGAAAGGCTGCCAGTAGGCCCGGAGCCAAACTTAGCCTGCCGGCTTCGTCCAGCCTGTGATCTATAATCGTGTTAGACTAGCACGAACCCGGCCTAAATGCTGACCAGCTTCATGCTTCTCTAGCATGGTTATTACCTACCGGGGGGGGGGGGGGGGGGGGGGGGGGGGGGGGAAGGTGCCCACAAGTAGGGCATACTCGCCCTAGGACTTCATCCACGGATGTGTACGTCTTTGCACTGTGAGCGAACCCAGGTCAACCAACTCCTAAGGTGAGTCTGTCCTCTGATGTTGCACTGGGCTGGATACCAGTAGGACGCAGCCACGATCACTTGTAGGCATGTGGAAATTGGCCAGCTAGAGAAGCATGAAGCTGGTCAGCATGTAGGCCGGGTTCGTGCCAAGTCTAAGCATGCTAGCGAAGCATGAAGCTGGTCAGCATTTAGGCCAAAAGCGGACCTTCCAAGGCAGGTTTGATTTGCAGGGGGGAGGAGTGTCCAGCAGCCAATCGGCCATTGTCATTGTCTTTCATTCTCTCCCGTGTATTGCGTATGGAAACTGGTTGATTTGCAATTCTGTGCTCCCACTAGATTTTCACACTAGAACAACATCGGCAGTTGAGTGCCAAGTCAAAACGTGCTCACACTAGAACTTCCACTTCGTTGACCTCGTTCTAGTTTGCCAATTGCACTCACACTGGAGCTTCCATTCGGCTGCAACGCCAGCCAGTTATGCTGTCGAAGTCCTTGTACGACCGAGCAAGTATACGCCTCGAGCGTGCAGAATGACAGTCAGTATGTTCTTTTCTTTGTAACAGAAGCAAAATAAGGATCTCAGGAAATGCAGGTGGTCCTTTGTCGACGTTGGCATTCCTTGCTAGGGGGGAATCGCGACGGGGACGCGACGGGGAATGTCCTTGCTAGGGGGGAATCGCAATGGGGACGATCTGGTGCCCTACCTACCTCTCCTACGACTCGTCGAAGCCAGAGTGGATTGATAAACCAGCTGCTTTGTGGCAGAGTGTAGTTACTTCCCCCTCTGCCTCAGCCCCTGTTGAAAGACAGAGCTCTGTGCACTGGGCATTCGGATTGATCCGCGTTGAGCAGGCTGCGGTGGACCTCCGGGTAGTGGTGGCTGCATTGATGAGTAGGCCCCTCCTTGTAGGATGGCATGTACAGGGTTATTGCCTTCGTAGAATTGCAGCCCGGGTTCCACAGCGTGTCTGCTGATGGGGAGGGTGAAGGCATGGGGTACTGCTTGGGGCCCTTCAAGGGCCATTGTAAAGAGAGAGAGAGAGAGAGAGAGAGAGAGAGAGAGAGAGAGAGGATCAAGCCAACTATAACTACATCATGCAGCACACAAAAGTGGTAGGGAGAGATGGTAAATTTCACCATTCAGAAAAAAGGGGTAGAAGAAAGAGGGTAGGAAGAGGGGGGAGCACATCAATCCAGGAGGAGGGTGAGTTGTGGGAATGATCATCCATGCCATGCAAGCGTTGAAGCCGCTCCAATTTCAAGATGGGGGATGGGGGAAGGAAGACTTGAGTGTCAACGTGAAGGTGTGTGGTAGCGTGTGTGCAAAAGTTGTTGTCTTGAGGTTTCTGGGCTTTTGTGTATACTGTAGGGAGGGACGAATGGAGGGAGTGAGGGAGGAAGGGAAGTTCTCTACGCATGAAAAAACGGTGAGGCGCATTTGTGTGCTGCAGCGTCAACCTCGACTTGAGGCGGAAGGGCATCTGTGTATGTTTGTGAGAGCATGTGCACACCAAGCATTGTCATATGTCTGCCACCCCCACGTTTGCGGTCATCGTCCCTCTTGATAATGTGCTGCAGGGCTCAAAGAGGCATGTCATGAAATTTTATGCCTCTCTTCTCCCCCCCCAACCCCACCCTCCCTCCCACCTCTCTCCTCCCAACCAAGATCATTGTGAATAGCAGCAACAGACTTGTTCCAGGTTGGCCTGCGCTGATATCATCCTGGAACTGTCTTTTCCCACCCTGGGACTGCACTGGTACCAGCCTGCACCCTGTGAATGAGTACTGCCACCCTGGAAGTACACAGTATGTCATCTCTCCATCCTGTGTGTGCGTTCGCGTGCTCTTTGGCGGAGCACGTTTTCACTTCAAGGGGCAGGGCAGCAGGTCGGAAGCAGGGGTGGGGGTGGGAGGGAGGTCGTTCAGAGCTAGCTTGCCACATTCGGCAAGGCAAGGCGGAAGCAACCTTGAAACCCATTTTGCATCCTTTCTCCTTTTCTTGGATCTCTGTTGCCAAGTTTGTTCCAGAGAAAGGACATGTCGTGATTTTCCAGACCTGTCCGAGACTGGTCCCAGGTTTGTTCCAGACTGGTCCCAGGTTTGTCCGAGACTGGTCCCAGGTTTGTTCCAGACTGGTCCCAGGTTTGTTCCAGACCTGTCCCAGACCTGTCCCAGGTTTGTTACGGACCTGTCGCAAGCCAGTTGCCTTCCTCGAGCTTTTGACTTGACAGACAGTCTTCTTTGGCATGAGGTGGCTGTCTTCATTCAGTGTTGATTATTGCAAATAAGTCCGATGGTGTCATCCCCTTGTTGTTTGTGCCGGTGGTGCTGCTTGTGGTTTAAAGAATATGTAGGAATTGAGCTTTTTGAACCCTTTTTCTGAGTTCTTGAAGGGCCTTTTTTTTTTTTTTTGGTGTGTGTGTGTTTNCCCCCCCTCTGAATCTCTGTCCGTCTGTTCTTGCTTCCAGAGAATAGATTGATTGATTGATTGATTGATTGATTGATTGATTGGATTGATCGTTTGATTGATCGACTGATTGATTGATTGATTGATTGGTTGATTGATCGATTGAATGACGGATTGATTGATTGACTGATGGATTGATCGAGTGATTGACTGCCAGGTCGGATGTGATTGGGTGATTGATTGATTGCCATGCTATCGCGAATTTGATCTATTGGTCGATTGATTGATTGATTGATTGATTGATTGATGGATGGATGGATGGATGGATGGATGGATGGATGACTGGATGGATGGATGGATGACTGGATGGATGGATGGATTGATTGGCATCATGAATTGAGTGATTGATCGATTTGATTGATGGATGGATTGATTGCCATCACGAAGATTATGGCGATGATTATAGAGACTCGCTGATTAGTTGGTGAAGGGTTTTTGATGTTTGTTTGTCTGTCTCTTCTCTCTTTGGGAATTGGTGATGACTCTGTGGAGAAGATGATTGTCGACTGCTAAGTATATGTATATATCGATAGATAGATAGAATTGAGGTATTAATTAGTCTGAGAAGCAGCAGCCAGCAGTTTTTTCTGTTTTTTTTTTTTTTTAATTCATTCTCAGTTTTTCCTGCTCTTCTGATTTGTCGTCTAGTGATCAATCACTGACTCGCTCACTCAATCAATCAATCAAGCAATCAATCAATCGATCAATCATGTTGGGGGTGTCTTGCAAAGGTGGGTTAGTGGCCATCAAGGCATCCGTTGGATCATCTGTGCATCCACGTGGTTGCTACTCAGAGCCTGTCGAATGCCACGTCAGCGGCTCGAAGGTCCTCTTCCCGCCAACCTCTTCGCGCCAACCTCTTCCCGCCAACCCTCTTCGTTGTAGAGCGTCAGGCGCATGGATGACGTGGCATTCTGACATGCCAACTGGTTGCTTGGCTACGAAGTCGTCGGCCATTGGAAGTAGCAAGTGGTCGTTGTTATCATCGTCTTCATCGTCGTCATCATCATCATCATCATCAGCAGCAGCAGCACGATCATCGTCTTCAGCCGTTCCCGCGCTTTCTGCAGACACAACAGCTTTTCCCGCCTTTTTTTGTAGACGAATCGCTGCAGCCGCCATTTCGATCCCCGCCGGAGGAGAGACAGGATCTTTCCTCTTAAGAAAAAAAGGCGGGAAAGATCTTCTTCGTTATCCACTTCGGGACACTTCACGTAGCCACGTGCTGGGAACAGAATTGGCGGGAAGAGGAAGAGAATTGGCGGGAAAAGGATTGGCGGGAAGAGGAAGAGAATTGGCGGGAAAAGGATTGGCGGCAAGAGAATTGACGGGAAAAGGATTTGCGGGAAAAGAATTGGCGGGAAAAGGATTGGCGGGAAGAGGGAGGACGAGGAGGAGGAGGAGGAGGAGACCGGCGGCGGCGGCGGGAGAGGGAGGAGGGTTACGGCGAGGGTTAGTGGGAGTGGGAGGACGGTTAAGAGGGGGAAGGGAGAGGTGGGTTGTTCGTGCTGGGGAGTTCGAATTGAATAAGGAGAGGAGGGGGGTGGACAAATCGGAGAAGTTGATTGAGGATCCGTACGGTCCCGTCTGGGAGGCGATGTCGGGACCCGTCGTGACGGTGAAGGCGGACGAGCGTCTGGATACCGTTCTCAAGCACTTCAAGAACTTCACCGGCATGCCTGTCGTCGACGATCGCGACCGGTGTATCGGGATCTTATCGGACAAGGACGTCCACGTGTACTGTCAAGGCAAGGGCAAAAGGTTATCAGAAGTCAAAGTCAGCGATGTGATGACGTCCCCAGCGGTGGTCATCAAGAAGAACGCTCCCATCGCCTTTGCAGCGGGCCTGATGCTCCAGCACAAGGTGCACCGACTGCCAGTGGTGGATGATGAGGGGAAGGTGATCGGGATCGTGACCAGGCGGGACATCTACGAGCCGTTGATTGTGCCCCTAGACCCGTTGATACACAAATTGCAAAGGTCCAAGATTCCGAAAAAAAGCGATACGGAGCTGGATTAATCACTAGAGATTTGGTACTCTTAATAACTACTACTAATTAGTATTATTATTAGTAGTAGTTATTATAAACTTATATAAAGTATTAATCAGTAATGAATGATTACTGGTTATTCTTTACTATTATTACTGTAAGTGCTTGGTAATCAATCGGGGTTGAGATTTGACATTGCTTTTTTTTTTTTTTTTTTTTTTTTTTTTTTTTTTTTTTTTTTTTGTGTGTGTTTTTGTGTGTGTATGTGTGTGTGTGTGTGTGTGTGTGTGTGTGTGTGTGTGTGTGTGTGTGTGTGTGTGTGTGTGTGTGTGTGTGTGTGTGTAATCTTCTGTTATCATTCCAATTTTTACCATTCCAATTTTAACGGATGTTCTGGAGGACTTGAATCACGTTCGACACATCCAGCACCATAAAATCCCATTGGAAAATTTTAAAGTACCAACTAACGACTACTGACTTGGACTGGCATTTCTGTGTTTGTGTGAAGCTTTTTTCAAGTTTTTTGTCAAATTATTTTTGCCCAAAATTAGTTAGAAAGATACTTGGAAAAAGAAATTCATTGTCCAGTGGTATCCACCCAATTGAATTTGTTACCTTGAAAAAAACAAACAAACGGTTATGTTTTGGATGGTCGAGTCACTAGTAGTAATTTTGTACCTTTTCTGTGTATTTTAAGTGGCTTGTTTTCGCTCGCGCCAAGGAATAATAGCTGTGAGAACATTCGACGCACCTGAACTCTTTGCGGCCAGAAATGATGAGACGGATTTGGGTGAGTTTGGATCTCTCTCTCCAGGAATGTAGCCCCGAAAAAAGCCGTGGATCATTGGTGGCATGCCCTTTTTTTTGTTTTGTTTTGTTTTGTTTTGTTTTGTTTTGTTTTGTTTTTTCGTAGGTGCAAGCGGGGGGCGATATTTTCCTATTTTTGGTTGTTTTGTGGCTGAAAACACACGATGTTTCGGTCGTTTAACAATTGGCATGTGGCCTCCTTTTTCTTCTTTGATTTTCCTTTTTTTTCTGTTTTTTTTTTTTGGGGGGGGGGGGGGAAACAAATGCAGTGCGTTCATCTGAAACCTTCCCTGCATTCGAGCGGAATGACAAGAGTCACCAGACACAGGGATCACAGGCACCAGAGCTACCGTCTTCACCCGAATAGAACACCCGGTGATTATAGCTGTATCTGGACTCGAAATTGTTCCAGATACGGCTATAATCACCGGGCGTTCTATTCGGTGTTGAAGATGGTAGGCAACCAGGAAAGCCCTGGTTGAAGTGTGTATTGGATGGACCCTGACGGACGGACACTTCAGACATCAGACATGATCGTTGTGCACTGGCCCTACAAGCTAGTGTTGGTTGGTACGCCTGCCTTCTCCATGTGTCCGTGTTTTTTGTGTCTGCATCTTCCCAAAATACTCCGTATGTGGTTAATCCATGGGTCTGTTATCTACCCGCATTCGGCAATTTGCGCCCCCGCTTGCACGAGACTACCCTGCCGCGCTGCGATTTAAGGTGTGAGGCAAACTCCTGATCTGCTCTATCTCCCTACTACAAGGATTCGCACCACCCACCATGATGATGCCTTCACACAGAGCTGCTCTGGTCGCGTCGTCACCCTATATGGAATGCCCTGTCCTCGCGACTCGGCCCAACTGAAGGAATCGAGGGAGAGAGGGAGAGGGAGAGGGAGACAAAGAAGTTGCAAGAAGAAAGAAGAAGGACAAAGGAAGAAGTGAGTGCGGAACATTTTCGTGCATCGCATTTAAACACTTGATAAAGAGGCATGCGAGCACATAACTGCTTGTTGTTATAAAAAAAAGGAAAAAGAAAAGGGGGAAGAAAAGAGCATGAACTGTCTTTTGCTTCTTCGCACGGCTTGACCACTCCACAGACTAATTTCCTGAATTGACTGGGAAATTTTTCGGTTTACCTCCCCCCCATGCGTGCACTTCCAGAAACGGACCCTGCGCGTCTGCGCAATGATCCTTTTTTTATTTTTCATTTTTTTGGAAACCCCGACCAATGTCACTAGGGGGGGGTGATACGAGCAGCCTCCCCTATTGCGCGATCTGATTGCTCCACTCTCTATTGGTGGGGAGCTGCACCCGCTGGAAAATAGGTCCAAGTATGCAAAACAGGGCCCTGCAATGCGTTTCTGCACCAAGGATGGGTCTTTGTGTGAGGTACGGTTTGTGGATTCATCACGGCCTTGATGGGCATGGGGGTACAAATTTACACAACCTTGTGCTTGCATGCCATGTGTTATGTTCGAGGTAATGAATGGCGGTGGCCACTTCTTTGTCAACTGGCCCTGATAACCAAAAAAGTAAACATTTTTTTAGATGCGCCCTCTGGTTTTTGCTTACTTTTATAAACAATCAGCCGGAATCAGGTGACCCTTGCTTAGTCAGCTTGCCCGACCAAATTATATTATGGGCCAGGTAGTCTATAAAGTTGAAGGTGAAGAAAGGAGATGAGGGAGGAAGACTGGGACCGAGAAGGAAAGTGAAAAAAATACCTCCGAAAGGTGTGGGAGAGGTGGAAGGAAGCTGCCACATAGTTGATGTGCACAGGTACATTTGTGCTCAGGTTGTGCTCATGAAGGTGAACGATATGGGTTCCGTAAGAACACCGCTTGGGTGTGTTTTGTGGCTAGGCAAAGGGGAAGCTTCAAGAGAGCGCATAAATGTAGTTCACTCTTGGAATGCTCCCGGATCCGAGCGGGCCAGAGATCACCGTATCATGTGTAATATCCGTATGTGGTGATTTTTCTCTTGACAAAGCTGTGTTCATGAAGGTGAATGGTATGAGGTGCATGGCAGGATCCACCTCAGCGTCAGTAGAGACCCAGAAAGTCGTCTTTGATTTTGGTGTTCCTTTTAATATCCATGAATTTTATCTCTACACTAGAAATCCCACTTTCCTCTATCTTATGATGGCTAAAAAGTCATTGTCAAACATGGCTATCTTCTCTTTTTTGGTCGGTGGTCGGTCAAATAACCCTTTTAGGGCCCAAATTTCCCACGTTGTACTAGAATGCTCTGCAATCTTTGACCGTATGGATTTCCGGATATTTCAACAACTTCGTGTTTGGGTCTTTCGTAGACACCCTACCTGGGGTTGACAAAGAATCAAAGCATAAGTAGTTCCCTGAGAATCGAACTTGGTTTTTACGGTAAGAAATTCCGAGACAATTGGGTTTTGTGTGACGGGTTATTTGGTGGGAACCCCTATGAATCTTGGTCCGCGGAATTCCCACACTGAGGAACAATCCAAGATTCGGAGCAGTCAGCAGGAAACCAAAGTTATAATTCAATTGTCGTAACGTTGAATATTCGGAATCGTTGATTGCAACGAGTAGGATCCTCAGAGTCTTTATGCCCATCAACCATTCTCAAACTTTGGTTTAAGATATAGTCCGATGCCATTATAGGCGGCAAAAGTTGCTTCGCGTGTAGTCTTTAAAGCCCCTCTTAGATCAAACTATGGCGAGCCTGCTGGTTGACCAATAAATTTGGAGCTTCCAACTCTAAGGTATTTCCAGCATATAGTGAAGTGATTGAACCCTCATGTTGCCATGAGAGGGACCCATCTTGAGCCCACACAATAAATCCAAGAACTTCAGTATTTGTCATAGATAGGGGTCGGGAGTTGTATTTTCATGTGAATCGAATTAATGGTACTTGTTGTCAATTTGAACTTTTTAGTCTTTTTTGTTTTTCTAGATGATGTGATGGGTCAATTATTTGTTTTATGTGTATTAACAGTAACTGCTGCAGAATTTGTTATTGGGCTCGCTATTCTTGTTATTATTTTTTGAATTCATGGCACTATTGAAATCTACCTAAACCAAAACAAGTGACCAATTTTCACTTTTAGGAAGCGAGATGTGATTGACGTACTAGTACACGGGGGGTGGGTGGGGCTCTGAAGGGGCTTTGTGTTCCATAGCATGGTGGATAATCGTATCTTTTTGAAGTGCTCAAATTCACTCTATAAGATAATGGCATTTATAAGAAAGTTGTCTGGAAGGATGGCAAAAAAATCATTGCCAAACAATGCATGGCTATCTTTTTTTTTGTCAGTGGCCAGCACAATACAAAGGTTCTTCAAGTTTAGGGCCCAAGCTTCCCATGTTGCGCTAAATTACTGGCAGAGTTATGCAAAGCCTCTAGGAATACCTCACGATAAAGAAGAAGAGGTCAAGGATTGGGGTTTGTCAGTCGTCTCCACTGCTGCCTCTGACACAATAACAACGATTTTGTCGAAATTGACATATTTTATTTTTTGAACGAAATTGAAAATCCAACCCATGGCCAAAATTTGATGAAATTTAGGGTACGGCATTGGGGTAGGGCATTCTCAGAATGCCGTACCCTAAATTTCTTCAAATTTTGGCCACAGTTTGGATTTTGGCATTTATAACCATCTTGGCACTTAAAAAATACATTCATGCACTTACTACATCCTGCCAGAATGCGAAACAAGACATCATGGGCTATACATCCAGTAGGATTGCATCTACAGGCAGTGAACCCGACCAGTCTGTATCTGTCAGTACGTTCCATACCTAACCCTTGCAATGTATGTTGTTCTCTGTGGCAAATGCATACATCATCTGGAAGGAGAGACTATATCTAGCATTTTCTTTCGAGACATTGCACTTTGTCTTGGATATGGTTACCGCAAAGGACCTTAAATCTAGAATAAGACTTCCCAAAAATTCGTAGCATTTTCTTTCGAGACATTGCACTTTGTCTTGGATACTCCGCGTGTCAAGAAAGACAATCTTTCATTTGAGGGGTTCATCAACAGTGCATGCTCATGTCTGTGGGGGGGAGGTCGGTTTCCCTTCGATCACAAATGTTTTCCCTTTCCGCCATTCCTCGAACCATCGCCAATTTTCAACACAACACTTGAAGGGAACTTCAGTGGCTGCTTTTGAGACGGTAAGGAATTGCCGGATGGGGAGGGTTACTTGGTTTACTACTCCTTAGCAATTCAATCTGCCTGTTCTTGTCTACAAGATCGTCGCAATCTCAAAATATGGTTTTCATAACCAAAATTGCATTACTCTATGTTGCGTCGTTTATGCCGTATAACTTAGATATTTGAAGTCTCCATCGTCTTGCATGCCAAATAGTCTTTCAGATACATATGAGACGTGGTCAA